TACAAGGTGTTTATGCTTGTCCAGCTCATAAAACAATTCTTTTGCGTGATCGACAACCAGTAGGTAATGTTGTACAACAAGAAGTTATTGAAGCAACATGTTCATCAGCTCAAGTACCAACTGTACCTATTATTGTTAATGGTATTACACCAGAACCTGGTGGTTTTATATCTCCAACATTTTATCCTTCACCATCATTTGATATAAATAGCATGCCACAACAACCTCAAACATCAGGTAAAAAAATTAAGTTTTTTTCTTTGTTTTTTTTTTTTAATATTCAATAATAATCTTCTGTTTGTTTTTCTATTGAGCTCCTTCATCTGTACTTGGTTATCAACCATGTGTAGTATCAAATGAATGGTATGTAAGTCAACCAACAATTCGATGTAGTGCATCATTTGGTGCAACGGGTTATGCACCTGATCCAAAAGATTGTTCGAAATATTATCTATGTGATTCTTATGTCGGTCCAGATGGCATGTCATCAGGTGAGATTAAAAAAAAACAAAAAATAACAACCTAATTGATAAAAATTTTTTCTTCTGTATAAATAGGTATTTCAATGCAATGTTTGGCTGGTCTATGGTGGGATCAACAACGACGTACATGTGTACTTCCATCTGAAGTTGCATGTAATCCATATAATATCATTAATTCACAAGGACAAAACACAATGATTGATAATAATCTAAATGGTAAACATCTTTTTTCAAAAAGGAAAAAAAAATCTTCTATTTAATGTTCTTATATTTTGTTTTTTAGTTATGTATCAACCAATGTATCCACCGATGCCTTTACCATCAGGAGATACAACACCACTTGTTGCCTTTCCACAACCACAAACACCTGTTCAAGTTATACAAGGTATGTGTATATATGAAATCAATCATGCTAAACATTATCGTCTTTTTTTTTCTCTTGATAGGACAAGGTGACGCTCCATGTCGTGGTGGACCACTATGCGTTGATGTTGGACTTAATATTCTTCAACAAATGAAAGGCATTCCTGGTCGTCCAGGCTGGTTGTATGTATTTAATTTATCTGTTTTGTTTTTAAATGTATTTTTTCTCGATATTAACTGTTTGCTTTTAGTTATAAATGTGACAGTCAATGTGCACTTGAAATGCGTTGTCCACCAGGTTTAATATTTGATGATTCATATCAACGATGTGAATGGCCTGGTGCTAGTCCTCAACTATTACATCAACGTTTAGGTAGTTTAAGAGATAAGAACTCTGATGATAATAAAAATACAACTAAAACAAATGTTAAAAAATTACGCTTAATGACAACAATAAAACATGTCAATAAAACATCATCATCATCATCATCGTCATCATCATCAACATCGGCAACAGTATCACCAATAAATCAAGCAACAAAACAGGTTGCACCATAAAGGAACTTTACGCACATATGCTGTTATACAGCTAATGCATATCATAAAGACATAGATAACATATTTAAATTTTTCTTCATTATTTATTCGTAAGAAAAAAAAAATCAATATTCTTTTTTTTCTTTTCTTGTGCTGATAGCCTTTTGTTTTTCTTTTATTTCCTTCTATATGTATAGATTGCTTTTCACGACGAATTTCATTATCTTCGATTACAATTGTTGCTAAAAACAAAATCTTTTTTTGTTCGTTTCATTGTTTCATTATTATCATTATTTATTAGCCTCGCTATTCTCTTGAAGAAATAAAAGAATGAAATAATCTATTCAAAAGATTAATCATAAATCGTTTGCTTAGTTTAAATCTCTTTAAAAAGCAAAAAAAAAAAAGAATAAGATTTATTTCTATGACATAATCATCGATTTAAGAGGATCTTAAATTTAACCTTTTCTCATATATTTTTTTTGCTTTATGTAAGAATTCGATATTTAACAAGGATAATGTGTTCAGGCTTAAAAGAAAATAATTTGTTATTTTTATTAACGTTTATGTTCAATCTTGGATTTGTTTTTAAAATTTGTCTTTAGATGATGATGACATAAACATTGCATTTGCTCATCATTAGTTGATAAATAAAATTGTTCACGTCGTGGTAAACTAATAAATCTACATGGAATTTGAGGATCAAATTCAAATGAATCAACATGTGTAAAAAGAACTTTACGACGAGTTAAAGATTCTGTTGGTTGTGATAAAAGTATAGAATTATTTTGATTTAATGAAAGATTTTTATCGTATGATTTCCGTAGAATTGATTTTTTTGGCAATTGATGATTATTTTTAATAATAATTAAATTATTTAATTCAATACTTAAATGTTTAAGAAAGAGAAAAATAAATCTAGCTAAGATTTCTTCTATTGTTGTCATCAAAAAAAAACAAAAATAATTGAGAGAATTAAAAGGAAAAAATATGAGAATAATTTCGCGCTAGATTTTTATAATTAATTATTAATTAAGATATGAAATCAAGTAATTCGATAGAACGATGATAGATTGGTTATTATATTTCTGAATTCAAGTTTTCAACTATGTTGAAGATTGATCAAATAGCATAGAAAAATAGAGCATCGTTTTCTCTATCACTACATAAAAAAAGAAAATTTCTTCAAACATTCTATAAGAAATTGATATAGCTCCGTAAAGACTTTTGGCATGTCCGAAGTATAGTAATGTCTCTGTGATTTTCTGTAGTCCACAAACTCATATTGAGTCCTGCATCATTAAGTAAGATTGTCTTGTGTGTATTTTGTAAATATGTAGAACGATGCTGCTAACTACGAACCTTTCACATAGTTCATTAGGAACAATGAAAGGCACTACTTGAGTTCTATTGACCGAAGGCTGTGTCATTATTGTTATAAAGCACATGCTACACAAGTTCTGGTTTACGATCAAAGGAGTTGCACTATGATTGAGATCTTAATTCTGTAGCGATTATAAGGCAGGCTTGCCTATTCGTTATTATGCTCAAATATCGACAAGTTCCACTAGGAAACGAAGAGAATGCCCGAGAATTCCTGTCTACTTCCACTATCACTGTTTTCATCTTAGTTAGGAATAGTCTTGCGGGTTTATAGAACTTATATGATATTATATATCCTATACAAATAGAGAGTGTGATAGATATCGATGGTGACATAATTCTGAAGGCTCACAAGATCCACATTTCAGTTTGCAATTGAGTGACTTTTTTTTTTGTTTTAAATTCAGATTGAAATCAAATAGACCATTGCATGCATTTTGCTCGGATTTGTTCGCACCAAGCATATGGCAAGGATAACATCGAGTCACGAAATTCATATATATCACTAATTGCCACCAGTTCCAAAACGGAGCATTCTTCTTCTTCTACTCCTTCTAAAAGATGATTGCCGATTGAACTTCTTTTCCAATAAACCATCCTTCAATCTTTTTCATCTATTGAGAAAGAAAACATTAATCCTATCAATGATGACTACTGATAATATAATCTTATGTGTGTACTGCATAATCACAGCAAACACACTTATTAAATTGCTTCTTCTATGTGTCACTTAGCAGAAACATCAGATTCATTGATTTATTCAATAGTAACAGTAGCGTAAACTGATTGTTCAAATGATCTTTATATTACTGCTTGTTTTGTTTTGTTTGTCGTACTGACAATTATCTATCTTATTCGTTTATTTAGGTAAATCTATTGGGCTATGAAAGATTGTTTCCATCTTTTTTTGCCCTCTTTTATTTTGAAATTCCTTTTTTTACTCTTTGTATGTCTTCCTAGTTTACCTAAACTTTAGAACAAAGTAAAAAAAAAAAGATCTTTCATATTGACGTAGAATTTATGCGCTTGGACACATTAATCATATTGTTGTAATCTGTTAAAAATGCAAACATTTTTTAATTTTAGTGGAATGCTAAGATTGAAGGACAAAGAAAAATATCTATAACTAATATAATTAAACTTGAATCGATAAAGTAAATAGTACAACCAATAATATGAATTATTAGATAACTTTTCGCTTCTTATGAGCAATAAAAGAAATAAATATCCTATATAGAAAACATGCTACTGATGTCGTTGTTGTGATTCATTATTTCAGGATTTATTTTAATATAAAAATTATCTATTATATTAATTGGCAAAATCAGCTTTTTCTCAACTTTGACATAAATCAACCAAAAATAAATTAATTGGTCTATGGAAGAACAAGATCATTTTGTTATCGTCAATGTAATAGATTTATCATAAATGTGAAAGAGTTCATATCTCTAGCCTGTTTATTTAATGTTGAACATTGTGTTTTATTTGTTCAATCTTATTGCGTACATCTATATTTTATTTTTATCCAGCAATATGATGTATAACAAGGCGACAAAAAATAAAGGAAAACAGATCAACAGGAAAAGATTAAAAAAAAAATAATGTGTTTGATGACAAACAAGCAAGCAATGCATGAATGACAGATTTCACCATTATTCTCAGCAAAAAAATAGACGTACTTCTAAATATCCGTATTCTTGCTACGCGACTTGAAATAAGCATATCATACATTATAATTAAGAGAATAAATAATACTTTGCGGATGAAATGTATACAATTAGAAAGCAACAGTGTGAACTCAATCGAAGAGTGATAATTTTCTTTTTAAAGGAAGTTATCTTGCATATGATGGAGTAAATGAGAAGAATCTTGAGCAAGATCTATAAATAAAAAAAAATATGAATGTATACATACAATATCTCTTTAATAGACCTTTTATCAAGCAAACTTCTATAAATATCATATATAGAAATATATACTCCTGATTGTCATAAATCTTTTTTTGAGATAGAAATTTGAAGTTTTAATAGCTGCGATGATTATTATTAGTTTTTTGAAATAATGATCAAGTATCTATTTATATGGAAAGTATTTTAATAAGAATAATAACAAAAAAAAATCATATCAGACCTTCAATTTATTACTTAATTCGATTTAATCGATGTATTACTATTTATACGTATAATTTTTTCATTTTGTTCATCTTTCTTAGATTAACAATAATAAAAATATATACTAATGCCACCGATAATAAATATGATAATACAAATACTGATAATTAAAAACAAACTCCATGATGAATATTTTTTAATTGTTTTATCTATATAAAGATCTACTATTGAATTCTCATCAGGATCAATATCATTTGGTAATGTTTTTATTTCCTTTTCCATTTCAGCTATTGTTGGTAGTTCTGCAATGCCAATCTTATAAATAAAAAGCAAATTTATATTCATATACAAAAATTAATTAAATGATTTACTTTATAATAACAAACATATGAAAAATTTTGATTCTGATTATTATTAAAACATGGATGTTCAGATGCAAAGCGTCTTTCACGACAAAGAATAGGTCGAGATTTGAACGAATAGACGTCTGTTGAAATACTTTCACCTATTTGTTCTGTATGACTGATTGATAATTTTCGTTGTGGATGTTCAAAATATAATTGAAAATCTTTTGCATTCCAATGTAATTTACTAGGACCTGTTGATCCAACACGTATTAATTCTAATGGATTATTTTTAAATGCTTTTTTAGCTTTATGTTTTATCTCAAAATAAGTTTTCTCTTTTGTGATGCTAGTTTTCTTATCACATTTTATAGATGTATAAAGCCATTCAAGTAATGTTATATATTCAATATGATCATCTGGTAAAAATAAATTCAAATTTGAACATTTAATATGTCCAATTGTTTCTATTGTTATATCACGTAATATATGACGTTCATATGGATTACAACGAATTATCGTTAAACTATTTGTAAAGAAAACATCGATTATATAATTTTCTAAGGGAACATTTGATTTTTTCAAAAAACAAAATATATAATTAATCTGAAGTATAAACGGAAAAATGAACAGAAGAATAGAAATTAAACACATAGGAGTAAAGATATTTAATAAGAAACAAGACGCGCTTCTTTTCCTATTCATTGATATTTCCACAATAATGCGCATCGATAAAATTGAAAAAGATTTTTTTTTTGTCTATTAGAACGAAAAGATCTTTATTGAATATAATATATTTCTAAGAACTTATCTATGTTTATATTCTTTCAATTAAAAGTTAAGACAAAGAGATTTCATTTATTTTTGTGTTGATATGAACTTGATTAGAATAAAAAATGAATGAAAATTACTCATGAATAAATCTTTGATGAAAAAGATAAATAAATAAATAAATAAACATAAATGAATTATATCGTACATAGGTCGTAATATTTCAATGTATATTTAATAAAGTTATTAATAACTAATTTTTTTCTTATATTGATAGGATACTCATACTGATGTTATGTCTGATACTATTAACGAAGAGTATGTGAATGAAAAACTACATCATTAAATTTTTAATTGGACGAAATCAAGGACATTTTGTTAATGATATGATGTATTTTGAAGCTAAAAAAATAATAAAACATAAATAAGCGTAATTAGCATATTACACAGTTTCATTAAAACCTATAGTTTTTCTAATCATGATTTTCAAGCATATTAATAGAGAATCGTTAGTCACAACATAAGCTCACAATTTTTTTTTCCAATCTCTTCTTGATGTTAGCTGTTTTGAGTTCATGTCTATCTAAAACGAACTGCTAGTACATTAGTCAACAAAAATAAAGTATATTCTCTTGTTTATAATGCAAGATCGTCTCAATAAAGTATTTTTCTATAACTTAAATTGAAACGTTTTAACTATTCATTGTTTTTTTTCTTTATTGAAAGAAAACTATTTTCAGATCAATTTTCTGCTTATAGTCGTCATGCATTTAGTACTAACATAAGACATGCGATTAATCTTATTGAGATAGCGGTAATATCTATATCTCGATCAAATGCCATAATGTTTAAATGATTTAGAACAAGTTGATGTTATTGTACTATTTCATCGATTTTATGAAATGAATCGTGAATGGTTTTAGTAATGTAATTAAATGAGAAGAGTATCTTTTAAATAAAAGCTATCTCTAATTTAATTGATTATTATTTAGAATTCACCAAAATTTTGAAATATCTGGATAGATATATATTTAATTATCTGATAAATATTAAGAATTTATATCATATTCTTTGAATCTATTTATCAGATCATAATCGTCGAAATCGATAAATATTATATCCTATACTAGTACATGTGTAGATATTATTGCACTTTATGTTTATACAGATAATCTAGTAAGACTTATTCTTAATTAACATTGAAGATCGTATATGTATTTAGAATCATATGAATGATTATGATGAAATGAGAAATTTAAATAAAATTTTTGCATTTAGTGTACAGTTGAAACAAGTACAGTTAATAAAGAGCAATTTGAATATACTTGATGGTGAGTATGAAAAAATAAATTTTTTTAAAAAATTCATATTCAATTATTTTTCAAGACTAACTACAATAGAAATAAAATGCTCTGATACTGCTTAATTGTTAATATGAACTGATAATTGAGTACCAGTTGGAAATAAACATTCATATATTTATAATAATAATTTAATAAATACAATTACAATATCGTTTGAAATCAAAGCTTTTTCGTCTAATATGAGTTCTTCGACAAGTATTGTTATCTGTAATTTACAAATGGTATCAATCAAAAAAGCAAGGTTGTAATTCGAACAGTTGTTCATGGCTATCAAATGAATATACTGTAGCAACAGCAGAATAGTTTTAAAGCTGATGCATTATTATGTGCTAGCAATCAAGAAGCTGTCTACATTAATCAATCATGAATGTTTGCATTCAGTCATTATTAATAATTGATTGTTGAAACTTGTGTTGTTTCACGAAGTTTTTCATTTGTTGATACAATCATTAGAAAACTTTAGATAAGAAACAAGATTATCTTGGTTATGATATGATTCTAGATCAGTACTATTGAATAGCAATAGTGCAATTCAATTTACATTTCATTCAAACAATATTTCATGTATTAATATTGTCTGATATAAATGAAATTGATATTGAATATATATTAGGCGTTCAAGAAGAATAAATTGTCGCTTATTGTGTAGATGTAACTTCAGAATACTAATAATAAGAAAGTTCAATTCTCATTAATAGATTTCCTTTCGATAGTCAACATTTTTTGCCCCTAGAATTTTCTTTAGTATAAATTTGAACTTTGACTGTTCTTTGGATAAATATATCTTCAAATAAGGTTTCAAGATCTTTGTTTTGAATAGAGAAAATGCTACAAGTTAATAGATTTAAACAGAATTAAATAAGCCTCAAATATTAAATGTCTATAGTGTATATTAATAATTCTAACAATTATCTATCAGACAATATAGCCAAGCAAGTTGTTGAGGCAAGACTGTCATTGAATATTTTTTTTCTTTTTACTAGATACAATAAATCGTATTTTCTTAAAAATCTAAAAAACTTCCTATTCTAGTCATAGAAGTTTGTATTTCCACTATTAAGTACTAAGTATACTATTGAATTGTTGTTTAAAACTGAATTCTTTGTTGACATTTACATTCTACACTCAAAATCATATTGAATATAAATAATTTAGTAAAGATAAAATTAGAACTTTTTTTTGTTTGTATAGTTATACACTTACGATCCAAACAGATTGATGACTAGCAGACTACAAAAATTTAGATACATTTCTGATAAGACTTAGCTGATTCATATTAATAATTAATGTTTATTTGATGGAAATATATTTGCAATCATTTCTTGCATGCAAATGCAAACCTTTACACGAAACAACGCAATCATGTAATTAGTTTTCTTTGATAACATGGAATATGATTTTAAATTTTTGTATCCTATGTGAGATCGTTTGTACTGCATGTAAACTATATGATAGGATAGGTTTGTTTCGAAGATATTTTTATCAAGTAAGTTCTACATGAAATCTTGTTGAATGTGTCAAAATCGAGTATATGTATTTAAATTTTTAAATTATTTTGTATCAGTTAGAATATCGTAAATTTCAACATTAGAAAAACTAAATTTTTATAATAAAATCTTCTTTTTTTTTTGTTTAACTGGTGTCGCCACTTACCAACATGATCTATTAGTTGATTGAATGACGAATTATTTCATTTTGATTGGAAATAACAATAGTATTTTGATTGAAACATTAATGTAAATACTTTTTTCAATATATATTATTAAAGTATACATAAGAAATTTTCTTATTATTGACGTTTCTTTTTTTTTTTTGTCGACCAATTTATTGAGTAATATGCACAATGCCTTTATGGTATTATGATAAAAAAGAACTTAAATCTACACCATCTATTCGTGATGGTGTTGATCCAGAAACTGAACAACGTTATCGACGTGAAGGTTGTCGTTTTATTCTTGATCTTGGTATTCGACTTGGTTTGTAAGTAAAATATTTTGTTGTTTATTTGAATTTTTTGAATTTTTTTGTTTTTCTTATATTCTATAGACGATCAGAAACAATGGGTACAGGAGCTGTTTTTTTCCATCGTTTTTATATGTTTCATTCATTTAAACAATATCCAAGATATGTAAGTTTTACTATAAAAAAAATAAATAAATAAATAAATTTCATCATATTATTAATTATTTAGGCCATGGCAACATGTTGTTTATTTCTATCTGGTAAAGTTGAAGAAACACCAAAAAAAATTCGTGATATTATGAAAACAGCACGTCAAATTCTTGAAGGAGCACGTGAACGTTATATACCAACATTAGGTGATGAACGAGGAGATTTAATTTTACAATATGAACGTATATTATTACCAACTGTTAAATTTGATTTTTGTATTGCAAGTCCGTATTCGTTTCTTAAACAATACGCTAAAACAATAATTGGTGATAAAGAACAAATACGACAAATGTTTCAAATGGCTTGGACATTTGTTAATGATAGGTATTTGAATAATGATAATAAATAACAATAATTATTTTTGTTTTATTTTAGTTATTGTACAACATTATGTTTACAATGGGAACCAGAAATAATTGCAATAGCTGTATTATATCTTGCTTGTAAATTATCAAAATTTGAAATAACAGATTGGACAACTAAAAAAGAAAATAGTAAACAAAAATGGTGGGAACAATTTGTTGAAGGTTTAACAAAAGATATTATTGAAGGTTGTCTTTTTTGTTTTTAAATTATATTATTAAATATTTAAAGATTAAAACAAAACAAAACATTTGTAATTTTTAGATATTTGTCATCAACATTTGGATCTTTATTCAAAAAATAATTTATCATCAACGGGTAATGGTACAATTGGTAATCCATCAGTTATGCTTACACCAACACAAACAAATTCAACTGTAACATCACCTATACAACCTATTGCTGTTGAATCACCATCAACAACACGATCGATTCCACCAGCTAAACGAGTAAGTCAAATATAAATCTTTCTTTTTATTTTCGAGATAAATATTTTGCAAGAGTATATGATTATTAATATTTATTTTTCATATAGGCACGAACAGATGATGAATCAAATTATCGATCATCACGAAATAATCATCATCATGCATCATATTTAAGTGCAAATGTCAGTGGTACTCAAGTAAATCCTACAGGTCCACTATTGCCATCTTCAACATCTTTTCATCATGTACGTGATTGATTTCTGGTTTTTTTCTTTTTTTATGAAATATGTTTTTTTTCAAATTATTCAGACATCAACGCACGATGATCTATCTCGGCGAACATTAACTGCACCGCCTCCACCACCGCCACCACCACCACCACCACCTCCTCCACCGCCTCCACCTCCTCAATCGGCTGTTGCACCACCACCATCTCATCAAAATTTCTACATGAGACCACCTATGCCGCCACCAATGCCTCCGTAAATGATTTGATTACAAAAAAGAAAAAAAAAATTTTTTTTTCTTTTTCTTTCTTTAGTATGCCGCCACCTATGTTTGCGCAATCTCTTCGTGGTCAAATGCCTTCTAGTAATCCATGGCCACCACCACCACCTCTACCGCCAATGTAGTGTTTTTTTTTCTCTGTTTTGCTGTTGATTGTCATATTATTTCTGTTACACATATATATACATATAAGAAAATGTGAAATCTTGTTTTTTTTTTCAAACTTATATTCAATTGCGACATAACATCGACAGACATATGTTTTGTCTCTTTCAGATTTGTATATGACATGACACATTATCTATTCCTTAATTTTAATTATTTGGAGTTGTCATCATGTTGTTCAATTGTCAAGATACCACCTGATCGTAGTGATCAATAAAAAGAACATTTCAATATTGGTATTTATATTGTTTTCTTTTCAAAGTTTTTGTTTAAATAATATGTAATCAATATGATATTTTTAACCATTGTATCAAACGAAAAATTTACAAGAGTTTGATTAACTGTTTAATTTTTGTACGACATGATTTCGAACTCGTAGCAATTCACAAAGAAAAATCTAGTTCGAGATGTTTAATTAATTAATGTATGATATCATATACAAAATTAAACTTCATTAGATTTTTATAAAAAAACGTTTATCTCAATGTTCATAAAGTTCTTCTGTAACTATCGGAGGAGATTTTTTTTCTTCAAAAGATTTCTATTCAGTTCATTAAATAATTATAAAAGAATTTCTATTCAATCAAAATTGATGATAATAATAATAATCTAAAGTTGATTGCATAATATACATATGATTAATCATCGTTTCTATGTGTTCATTATCTATAGATCGTATTCACTTTATCATCAATTAGAGATATAAAAACAAAACAAGAAAAAAAAATAGTTTGCTGTACAACGATCATTAACTAGAAAATAAAGTATATGCTTATTTGATTAATCTATCTAAGCTTTTAAGCTTAATTTATATTTGTTATTGTTTAAAACTAAAAAGACATGTTATGTAATATTTCAATTAACCTTGAAATCTACTAATCTATTGATAAATTTTTCTTGTATTAACTAATGATTATTCAAATAACCTTTTTCTCTTATTATTATTCGATACATCAAACCTATGTTTGTGTTTATCACAAGTCTAACTAAAGAGAAAGAAAAGAAAATGATAAAAGGTTATGTGAGAATAATGATTGTCATCAAAACAGATGACATGAATGTAGGATGATAATTTAATGTTATGTATTCAACACACATACACTCATATATTTTTCTTTCTATTACTTGCTTTTTCTTTTCTTCTTTTTAATTATTTAAAATTTAGTTTATAAATATTATCTAATCTATTTTTCTTTTCTCGATTCGGTTATTTATGAAAGAAAACAACAATGAACAATGGAAGTCAATATTTGCTAACGTAATAGAAAAAATATTATTGAATTTTTTTTTCTTCCGTCTTTCTGATTGTTTCGACAAGACATGAAATGTAAAAATGCGTTGTTTTTCATGCTATCGTTCATAGTAAACTTTTTATTCTATTGAGAATTTATCGTTATCTTGACATGTAATAAACAAGATAAAAATTTATTCCCTCACGAAATCAAAAAAAAAAAAAAAAGAAAAGAAGAGAACTACATTTGATGATTAGTAGTAGCTGTCACCATCTGGATTCTTTATAAAAACCAATTCTAGTTATTTCAATAGAATAAAAGAAATACGATAAGTTGTGGTTTTTTTTTAATTTAGAAATATATTCAATAATTAGTTTATTAATGTGAAAGAAATTATCTCAACAGATTTGTACCTTTTAGAAATTATATTTATTTTTATCTAATTGAAAAATAGGTTAAAGAGTAAAATTCATAATTTCATTTGTTTGTTGCTTTTTTCTTTAGTAAGAAATATAATTCAACTGTCAATTTCATTTATAAAATAAGGATATACGCATTTATGTTCATCATAGTTTTTTTTTTCAAGCGTAGAACAAGCAAAGAATGAATTGTTGTGGTCTTGAGAGACGTATAATACTCGTATATTATTTTTGAGCAAATTAAGTCAATATTGTTTCTATTCTTAGCTGTCATACGAAAAAACACATACGAGATATTATTTGCATAGCAACATCTGAGAAAGAAAAAAAAAGAAAAGACAAAACAATCTTATATTAAAGACAAAATAACTTTTGACTGTTCCGTTTATTCTATATAAGGAAAAACATCGATGCAGATATTTACGTCTTTTTTTCTCATCTATATTAATCAAATCAGTGATAGCTTCATTTAATTTGGTTAAAACATTATATCTGGAACTAATAATTTTTTTCTGACAAAAAAAAGACCCTCCATATCATATCGGCTAGACATTATTTTAATAATAGATTAAATTTTGATCTTCTCCTTAACACGACGTCTCAATAATACATTTTACATGTTAATGATAAATATGAAAAGAAATTTTTTTTGTCATTTTCATGGACTAGTCATTAATTTCCGCATATATTGCATCATCAGATAAACAAACTTACACGTACAAATGACGACGTGTAAAACAAGACAAAAAAGAAAAAAGTTATTTAATATGCCATTCTTAACAAACTTTTGTATATTTTATGTCCGCTTGTTCCGTTTATATTTAGATTCTTTTTTTATATAAAGAGTTTGTTCTATATTGACCATCTCTATTTTTTTATCTCAGTCACTTAGACATACATAAACTTCGAGTTTGTATAATTTATTGTATATATTAAAATAAGATATAATTGATATTTGAAACTATGTTCTCTTAAGAACAGACACTTAGTATCAATACTATATAAGACTTCATTTTCAAAATCTATCAAATAACAATGATTCAAGTATTTGAACTTGAAAAATAAAATCTTGGAGAACCTATTAGATATTATTTCATAAAAAATTCATTTGTCATTCAATATATATATATTATTATCAATCTATCAGTATGATATACACATCTTCTCATATTCATTTGACATTGTTTTGAAGTACATTTCATTAGTACCAGACATCAGATACATAACCTTGGAATATTTATATATATATATATATATATCTGATAGTGACCAGCTGATCAATCTATAAACACATGAATATGCACTATTACTGTTTCCTCTTTCTGCTCCTTTTGCTTCTAGCCTTTCTCTCTCTCTCTCTCTCTTCTCACACATCTTCGTCTTTTATAGCATACATAGAGCACGCGTGTTCGCTTACTTGCCTGCTTATTTGCCTTCGCGCCCTTAGTCAGACGAAAAAAAAAAAGAAGAAAAAGGTGTTTCATCCACATACATAACATACACACAATAAGCAAATTTAAGAGACATGCAATAGAGTACATGTATGAGAGTTGAAGAAAAAAAAAAAAAAAAAAACAATATTGACTAGAAAAATCCACGTAAGACATAAGCAATATTTAATCATTCATTAGTTATTGTTTATTATAATATACTGGACAGTAGAAACAACATAGTGTTGCTAGCTTATTAACATTCATTTCTTCGTTGTTACATCGATCATCTGGTAGAGAGAAAAAAAACAGAGAGAAAGAAAGAAAGAAAAGAACTGAGTACAAGAAAGAGAATGAAAAAGTATGATTTCTCATATGGTAATCATCTATCCCCCACGTATATAGAGTAGCTCGTATATGGCAAAAAAATAGGGGAAAAAGAAATGGACAAACCACAATTACTAGCGTTGCTTGTCTTATATCCAACTAGATCGATAGAGATTATTATTCTATATAACCTACATATCTATCTATATATATATATATTCTTTATTTCAGACACGATCGATTTAATATTTCAAAAAAAATAAAATTCAATTTTATTGAATTATTCTTCAATATTTATCGTTTTACAATCATACTACTTCTTGTTTACAATCAATTGATTTTTATTGAAACGGGTAAAATCTTTAATATTAAATAAAAACACAAAAAATTAGTCATGTTAGTAAATGTCCATCATCTGTGGGATACATATCATAGTGATGATGTGAACTACATTTGTAGTTGACGAGAAAGAAAAAAAAAAAAAGAAGAAAAGTACAGCCTTAAGCGAATTCTTTCTTTCTCTTGTGCCTAGTGCCATTCTTCCGGACATTGATGATGAAAGCAGAATATATTCTGTTATTGCTTCTTCTATTGGCAATGTCAAATAACAATATATATATATATATATATATATATATACATTACTATTTTTTTGATAAAGGGCATAACACCTTTTTTTCATGTTCATGCACGTACGATTTATATGCATTTTTCTTTTCTTTCTTCGTTTTTTTTTTTAATATTGGTAAACGCGTACCTATGTCGTTTATATTCAGCAAACACAGCTGGTAGTTGTCAATTCGCGTATAATTGCAAACTTCTATTTTCATTAGTTGTTTTCACATTGATTTTTCTATTGGTAAATTTTCTTTGTTTTTTTCGTAAGACGAAGATGAAGAAGAAGAAGAATAAAAACAGAAAGAGAAACATTCTATATCCAATTAATTTAAATAACCATTGACTTCGAACAAAAGAAAAGACATAATTGCTACTTGAAAGGAATAAAACTTTACAAACATTGCATTACATAGAAATGAATTAGATTTTTAGCAAATTGCTTAAATGCTATAATTAGTACATGTAAAAGTAATCTCGGATCACTGTAATAAATCCATAGTATTATTTTTCATAAAAGCTTAAAGCAGCTCTGTGATTTTTGTCTTTTTGATTGCCCTCGAACTTAAATGATGATTTTGTATATATCTTTCATATAAATACTTCATCATCAGTATAAATAATAACGAAAACAAATGTCGTCATCATTACATCTCAAGGCCAATTTTCGACCATGTGAGCATATGAATATAAGATAGAGAAAAAAAAATAAAATCTAAATTTAGTATCGTTTTATCTGGACGACGAAAACGTAGGAGAGATAGATTGCGTCTCACTAATTGGAGATTGTGTTTGTATTCATATGGAAAGGATCGTTCAGTCAGCCGACGACGATACTATTCTCTATCGTCGTCATCTTTGCCCATATAAAAAAGAAGAGAAAAAGAGACATAAAGAAAAATCTGATGATGCAGTTGACGGTGTGTCGAACGAAGAATAATGTGTTTGTTACGAAGACTGCACGTAACAACGACGAGAGTGTCTATTGTATGCTCTCCCTCTCTGTCACTTTATCATCGAATAGATGTGAGGTAGTGTCTTACATACATTTTACACACTCACATCATTTTTTTTTGTCTCTTTCTTTCTTATTTGTTCATCATATTAAAATATTAAATTTATTCTTTCTAGCATTAATCTAATCGACAACATACAACAATGGATGATTGAACATTTTTAATTGATATCACCGATCTTCTACAGGTGAGAGAATAAATAGAGAAAAAACAAAAAAAAGAAAGAAATAAAGAATGGTACAATAATCGATCGATACCAGTTGTTTTGTGTTCTTGTTATTGATATTATTATTAGTATAGCCTATATAACTGAAACAGTCATGTCTAGTGAAGTAAAGACAGGAAAGAAATACGAGTACACGAACGACAGAAAAAGAAAATTGGTCGATCAATTTCTTAATAAAAACCACATACGATTCTTAAAGAAAAAAAAAAGCGAAAATAAGAAGACGAAGAAAAGAAAAAAAAAAGAAAGAAATGATACAATTAAGAAAAAGAAGCAAGTCAGTTTTTTTTTTCTATTCAATACTCGATTGCTTATATTTTTACGATGAATGACAAATTATATTCGTCAGCATCAGATGATTTCTTTTTTTTTATTTCAATAAATAGAAATGTAAATTATTTGATTTGACGTTCTTTTTTTTTTTATTTTCATCGATTTAAATATATCTGAAGTATTTCATAAATAAGAAAACAAATAGAATTAAGTGTTTAATATTGATTTCATGAAAAATATGGTCTCAGAAGGGAGATATACAGAGTGGCCCAAAAGTAAC